GTTGAGCAATGCGTACTCAACCTCGATTCCTCCCCTTGTGCCATCCCTCCGGAGGATAGAATCACAGTGGAACAGATTTGCTCAGCGTTGAAATGCACCAAAAACATGAAGGCCCCCGGGTTTGACGGAATATTCAACCTAGTGTTGAAAAATCTCAGCATGAAGGTTCACTCTCTGCTGGCTGCTGTCTTCAACAGATGCTTGGAACTGCACTACTATCCAAGTATCTGGAAGACAGCGAAAATCATACCTATCCGCAAACCCGGGAAGGACCCAACGCTAGCTTCAAGCTACAGACCAATCAGCCTCCTTTCAGCGCTGAGCAAATTGTTCGAGAAACTCATTCTCAATCGTTTGCTCAAGTTTGTCGAGGAAAATAACATTCTCCTTCCGGAACAGTTTGGGTTCAGAAAGGGGCACTCCACCAATCACCAGCTAGTGCGGGTGATGAATAACATCCGAAGTAACAAAGCTGTATCCAAGTCCACAGCCATGGCCTTGTTAGACGTTGAGAAAGCGTTTGATAATGTCTGGCACAATGGGCTTGTATACAAGCTTTGTAACTTCAACTTTCCATTACATCTGGTTAAAATCACCCGTAGCTACCTCCAGCAAAGGTCGTTTAAGGTATCGTTGAATGGTTGTCTTTCCGACACGTTTTCCATCCCAGCAGGAGTCCCGCAAGGCAGTCTGCTGGGACCCTTGCTTTACAGCATTTACACTTCCGACATTCCTCCCCTTGGAGACGGTTGCGTGTTTTTCCTGTTCGCAGATGATACCGCAATAGCCGTCAAAGGAAGGATGCCTCGCGAAATAGCCAACAAACTTCAACGATGCCTTAACGCCTTTGCTGATTATGCCACCACGTGGAAAATCAAAATCAATGCCACCAAAACACAAGCGATCATGTTCCTCCATCGGCAATCGCCCAAACTGAAACCGGCTCCCTCTTGTACTGTAATCATGGATGGCACAAGGGTTGAGTGGTCCGCCGAAGTAACCTATCTCGGGATGTTGTTTGACGAAAAGCTCCTATTCCGCTCGCATGTGGAGAAAACCGTAGTCAAGTGTTCCGCCTTAGTTAGGTGTCTGTATCCGCTGATTTGCCGCAGATCCCGCCTCACAAGGGTGAACAAACTGGCCGTCTACAAACAAATCATTGCACCTGCGATCCTCTACGCAGCTCCGGTGTGGGAATCATGTGCACAGACTCACAGGAACAAAATTCAGGTAGCTCAGAATAGAGTGCTGAGGATGGTTCTTGATCGTCCTTTCGACACTAGAATAACAAATTTACATGAAGAGGCAGGCATTGCCAAAATTGATTCCAAAATTAACGAAATTAAGACTAAATTTGCACAAAAATGTAATTTATCAGAACATGCTTTGATAAGCAATTTGTATATAGTAGATTAGGTGTATATAGTAGTTGTAGGTTAGTTGTAGTTGTAAATAGTAGTTATAAGTAGTCTCCTTTTTCCAATTCAAATCAAACCAATCCCACCAAGGTGGTTATACTTTAAAATAGGCCTGATAGGACTAGGAACTGTAAATAATAATTAAAATCTCAAATGTACTAAAGTTGAAAAGACGCATCTGTGTCACTTAAAAAATTCATACATGTAAACCACACAATCACAAGAAATAAAGATCATTTAAATGGCAAATGCTTTTGTTCATTTTCGCTTCGGACGGCGTGGCACTTGGTCCTAGCAGCAGTAAGCAGGTCTAAATCAGCGGCTTAAGGTGGATCACGACGTGACCACAATGAGGAAAAGCAATACATGTACTCCCTCCTCCCTTCATAACAATCCCTCGCCCCCCCCCCCCCTCAACAATCTCTCACCCCCCCCTCAACAACCTCTTCCCCCCACCATCAACCTCTCCTACCCCCCCACCATCAACCTCTCCTACCCCCCCACCATCAAATGTGTAAATTGTTTTGAGTCAACCATAACCGAAACATTGAAATACTTGAAAATTTTAAGATAAAGTATAATAGTCAAAAATGTATGAAAAACATCAATTTTGTGTGGTTCTACGTCATACTGCGGTCGTGTCTAGGACACAACCCTTTAATTTTTTTAATGCGTTTATTTTTCCAGGCTCATTTGCCGTAGCTTAGCGGAGCTGATATTCATCGTTTGGGATACAAAATTACTTAAACTTAACGTTAGTAAAGCGGGGGCCGATTACTCGTGGCTATCTCGAGGTTAGGGGTAACAAATTGTAACAAACGGATGGCAGGGTAGGGATTGAGAACACAAGGTTTTTTCGAGCAATGTGCTCGTGATCTAGAACTAAGCGACATACTGGAGGAAAAGACGAACATAGGGGTACACCGATGGGGACCTAGCAACTTGAGAGAACACAAGATGACACTAACTACTAAATCCTCAGATCGATCCGTTTTAAAAACACATAAATTAAATTAAAATAATCGAGATTTCGGCTCGCCAAGACGTCTCATTGTTTTCCTTGGGCCCTGAGGGATGCGGATAACTCGGATCTAGCAACATAATGGAGGGTGCATGACCAAAGCACGTGGTCGATATCGTGACTACCACAAGCGCACAAATTGCTGCCTGCGAGCCCGATTCGGAAGAAATGCGAGTCTAACGAGTAGTGATTGGACATGAGCCTTGATATGACACGTATAACGTCACTCATGTCCAATCCTTTGAGCCATGGCTTGTTCGATACCTGTGGGAGAATAGAATGTAACCATCTTCCCAGATCACTCTCATTCCATTTTTGTTGCCAGTTGGTGAGCACGTGCTGACGGGTAATTGAGAAAAATCCCGCAAAGGCGATCTGTCGATCAAAAATATCGCCTTCCATAGCGCCCACCTTAGTTAGCGAGTCCGCTTTCTCATTACCCGGAATTGAGCAATGAGATGGCACCCAAACTAAGGTGATAGTATAGGAGCAGTTAGATAAAGTTTTCAATTTAGCTCGGATTTCGGTCAGGAAATACGAGGAGTGCTTCATCGGCCTCATTGATCGAATAGCCTCCAACGAGCTAAGGCTATCTGTAAAAATAAAATAGTGATCAGATGGTAGTGAGGCAATTTGCTCTACTGCGTAGAATATGGCTGCTAGTTCCGCAACGTATACGGAACAGGGTTTTTGCAATTTATATGAGGCGCTATGAAATTCGGTGAATACTCCAAATCCAGTGGAAGCGTTTATAGTTGACCCATCTGTGAAAAACTCTTATTGTTACTGACATGGTGGTACTTGTTTGCAAACATTATGGGAACAACCATCGACCGATGGTGATCTGGTATTCCACGGATTTCTTGCAACATGGTTAGATCAAAATTTACAGAGGAACTATAAAAGTCTTGGAGGCAAACACGAGAGGAATTGAATGAAGAAGAGCCAATCTTCAGCGTCATGTACTCGTAATAGAGACTCATGAATCTTGTTTGAAGATTTCTGTCGAGCAGCTTCTCAAAGTTTTCTATTACCAATGGGTTCATTACTTCACAACGGATGCAATCAAAATTTCTTGTTAACAAGCTTTTTATTTAATTTTTGTACTAATAACGATTTAGAATGTCTTATATTTTGTTTCTTGTGTAGTAATTACATAGTACATAGTAATTGGCATAAAGATAAAAAAAAATCGACTAAATGTTCTTGTTCAACGATTTTGGTCAATTTTGAAGTGTCCGTTGTTTGAAATATGTCAAAAGTTTTCATTTTTTATGAGTTTATAAAATTAAAAACATATTAATCTTTTAAATTTGTCAAACCTCGTAGCGGAATCCCTTTATGAAGAGCTTTGAGTGTGTTGGTTTATTTCCTTTAAATTATAGCGGAATTTAAAGGAAATAAACCAGCACACTCAAAGCTCTTCATAAAAACATATATAAAAAATTAAGATTTACTTTCATAGATACTTGAGTTTGTAAAACTTTTTTTGAATCTGTACTCAAAATAATAATAATAAAAAAATACCATGTATATTTTTCTCAAATAGACTTTTGTTTTCCCTACAACTTTTTCTCAGACGTCATTTCGAGCAGAAGGCGAAAATTTTGTATAAATTTGAATGATTGCCCAGACCCCACAATTATGCAAAATTCTATGCAAATCAGAGAAGGTCTGTTCAATTTTACTTTATATTAGGTAAATGTGTTATGCAAAGCTATATATTTTAATATTATCTATAACATTGCGGAACATGTAAAAATAAAAATGGAAAACGTTATGATAAAAAACCTACTTCTTTAAAAGTAAACAAAATACGAACGGAGTGTTTTGGAAAAAAATGTGTTTGAAAGAGTATTTCCTACAACTTTTGTAAAGAAATTACCCAAGTAACATTGCAGGTTTTATCGAGGTTTTATAGCATTCTACAAGTCTAAATCATAATCTAAAGAACCCTCATAAAACCAAAATTGTTACTTGGGAACCTTGTGAATATAAAAACAAAAAATCATAAAAGTATATTTCCTATTCCACCTTTAGAGGGATGAATCATCGGTACAAAAACTTTTAAAGAAACGCATTGGCATACTTAAAAACATCTCCCAAAGTAAAGGTGAAGCTGCAGAGCAAGAGCATGCTGAAGGTGGCTGGGTTCGATTCCCGGTCTGGTCTAGAATTTTTTCGGGTTGGAAAATCTTTCGACTTCCCTGTATCGTACTTGCCGCACAATTATACTAATGCAAAAATGGTACTGGCACGGAAAGCTCTCAATTAATAACTGTGGAAGTGGATCACGAACACTAAGTTGAGAGCACGCAATAAGCTAATATGTGTTAGGCATGAAAAGCGAGGAAGAAATGATACATAATCCGGCGCAATTAACAGTAAGATCGATGAAGAACAGGACGATAAAAAGCAAAACAAGTACAAAAATAAGTGCGATGGCAGCAGTACGTACGTTGAGGAACCACTGTGCAATGGCACTTTCGTTAAGATGTTTTGCAGCATAACAGCATTGATTGTGAATATTTCGGATAATTTATATCAACAGAAGGTTGTTATCACACTTTAACAAATGGTGAGCTAGCTAATGTATTTAGATAAAAATCACCAGGAAGCTTACAGTTGTAAACACCGAGCAGGTCGGATGGGTTCCGTCTACAAGCTTTCAGATTGAATGACATCCAGTTGAAACACTGCTTTCCCTTGAAAACCAAGGATGGATCAAGTGACAGTCGGAACAATGAAGTGGCGTGCAAATGACTGCAAACTATCTGATCAGCCATCTCAGCATCGCTGGTCACCGGAAAAAAGCAATTAGGTTGTGGGACATTTCCACCGTTGGGGTAAAAGTTCTCGTGACCATCACCTTTTCCCACTCCTAGCGTGTTTGTGGAAGTAAGAATCATTTGAACGTACTGGGCGTCTCCCTTATCCAGCCGATTTTTAAGTCCACTATCAATCGGGAAAGTGAACAAAGGACCCGCTGGATCGACTCCATATATTTCTGCAATCTTTCCATCGAGATTGTTTCCAACTTGACCGCAAATCTGACCTCCCAAGCTGTGTCCTACGAGGGTAACGTTATCCAGCGACATACCTTGTTGGTTTAGAAATTTTACGAATAGAGTCAAATAATCAGATACAAGGCGTGTATTCTCCTTAGCCGCTTGGAAATAGTTGTACTTTGCCAGTTGATCCCACCCGACGATACACACGTTGGTGTCGATGAATTTCATTGCATCCTGTGCCGTTTCTTGTATCCAAATCAACGCATGGTCGTCTAGCCATCCGTGTGTAATAAGCATGATTGGTTTGCTGAAGTCAATCTTCTGCTGAACATCAGAATCATCGAGGAATGTTTGGATCAGCTCCGGAGATTTTCTGTTGCATGAGAAATTAATAATATCATCGTATGCAATAATAAGTGTACCTACCTGTTGCCACACCAAAATGTGACATCCTCCTCGATTGGGGTGGTGATTTCACCTGACAGTACCATTCCTATGTCGTTTCGTGTTAAGGCAAACATGATATCCAAAGCTGATGCCAAATTGTAGTCGGAAGACATGTTGAAGATATCCATCAATCCACAGTTGGCTCCACTAAGAGCAGTAAAGACTATGTAGATTGACAATATTAATTTGTGAGACATCTTTAAATTAAGTGGAATGAATTTTCTAACTGGAGATTCCCGGAAGTTTTTACCACTTATATAGTTTTTTGTTAGCACGTGATACTGTTTATCACGATTGTTCATTGAAGACATAATCAGCTAATGCATTTACTGGGCTGTCCCCATAACTTTGAGTGCAAAGCGAGCAATTATTGTCCATGTTCCATGCGAAGGTCTTTTTTGGTAATCTTCTCAGTTTTACTGAACACTATAGCGTTATTAATGATCACCTGTAGGAGAACTTTTAGTAAATGAAATTGAGGACAGGTATACGTTCCAGTTGGATGGAACATTGCAAAGCAGTAAGAATATGATTTACTGCAATGTGATGTACATACATAGGAAGGAGATAGCGTAAACCGCCACACAGTAGGGTACTTAATAATTCTAGCTGGCCAACAATATTTAATCACCCAAACATGTCATAACCGTCTTTTAATTACAGAATAATAACAGTTTTTGGTCAAAAGGGAGCGCAGTCAGTGGGGGGCGGGGGGATATCTTATTATAAGATTTTTGTTTGATTGTTAGTCGTTAAGTTCTTTTTGGATTTAGTTGCCGTGATAGACTGATATTTTTTTTTTGATTGATTACTTTATTTGTACAGGCTCAATCGAATAAACTTTACAGAGCCAAGTTATTATTTGCGTTATACATTGTTAATGTCTAAAATAAAAAAAAAAATGATTTGAACCGATTACTCGTGGTCATCTCGAGGTTAGTGGATGACAATTGTATGGATTGGGAGAGGGAGAAGGAAATTTGGAATATGATTTATGACTCATTCACTATTTCTAGAACATGTACTTAATCCCGCCAACTTTGTATCAACTCTGTAATACAATTATTGCAGAAACAAGTATATAACAAAATTACAAATACACAAACCATACAAATTAAGCGCAAGGCTAATCAAATTTACAATCTAAGGTTAATATTCTTTTAGAAAACATATATGAGTTTCATTAACTCCAGATCGCGTCTAGCAAAAAAAATTGCATCTCCGTTATGTGAGTAGTTTAGAAACAAAAAAAAAAAACTATTTGCTTCGATTTTGAAGAAAGATGTGCGAGGCCAAAATGGGAGGAGATTGCTAAATTTCATCAAAACAGTTGGTACTGCTGAAATAGGTACATTATATTGGTTATCGGAGGAGAATTTTTTTTTCAAAAGTTTAAGCCATACATGCTTTACGAAACAACAGTGATGTGGGCGCCGGTCGTGTAGTGGTAAACGTGACTGCTTTCTCACCCCAATGGGTCTGGGTTCAATCCCAGTCGAGGTCGGTGGGATTTTTCTGAGGCATAACAATCTCTGGTCACGTCTTCCTTCGGAAGGGAAGTAAAGCCGTTGGTCCCGGCCCATGTGTGTTTGAATGGGTGCGATATCCTAGGCAGGTGTGGAAGCTGTCTTCCTGCACATTCGATTGCCGTCAATGGATGGCAATCGATGTCCGTCGGTTATTGGCACTAGATTGCGGAACAAAGACCGACGTTAAATAAAGGAAAGAAACAACAGTGATGAATTAGTTTTCCATTATGTGGGTGGAAAAGCAGTAAAGGTTTGAATGTCACCACACACTACGAAAAAGGCATGTAAATTTCGGTGCCCTGAGACCGACACATATAAGCGGTCTTTTTGACATAAAAATCAGTTGAAAGAAACGAGAAAATCAATTCAATCAAACGTTCTCTTCGTCGACTTGCTTATGTTTCGGTTTGAGAACACTTAATTTTACATAAAATGTTTGTCTACGTTCCATGATTTACGTCAATTATGGATTACGTCTCGAGTAAAAGTAGTTATTGCTAAGTGTGCAGTGGTAGGTTAAATACGTGCGAGTATACGATTTGCCTAGTGATGGTGCAGGGGAAGTACGAAAAAGTTAAGCGTGTTATCCGGGGAAAAATCCTTCTCACACCGGGATAAGAGGTGTGTACATACCGGGATACGAGGTGTGTATATGATTGTGAAAGTGGAAATCCCTCACTGCACTTGCTCAATTGGAAGGGGCCATATTTTATGACGGAATCTAGAGCAAGTGTTTATTGTGCAAGATGGAGGGGTCAAGATGAATTCCTGCCGTAAGCGGAAGACTCGTTAGCTACCATAAAAGCGACAAAACGAAGACAGAGCAAAAGCAGGAAGATACAAACCAACAACATGACAGTAGCGGTAGCACATACGCAGGTGTGGTGACGAGAGGTGCACTGTTGAATAACAGCAACAATGAAGCAGAAGAAGCGGTTGAGGTGCTTGTAGAAGAGTTGGTGGAAATGGAAGATGTGGAGTCCCCGGACGCTGAAGAAAACACTGAGGAGAAGACTAAGGACGACATCAAGATGCAGCATCGTGTGATTAAGTACCGCAACAAAGAGAGCTACAAAAAAGCTTTGGAGCAGTGGAAGCAACAGCAAAAGTTTAACGAGGAAGAAGCCAAGCGTTTGACTTCGGAAAAAATAGAGGAGAAGGAAGTTACGGGCACGGGAGAAAGCAGAAGCCGATGGTAAGTCACCACCTAGGAAAAACAAAAAGAGCTTACCACAAGTCCTCTCCGATACTGTATCGGAATCAATAATTTTATTGCAATGTTAAGTTATGTAACATCATTGAAATTCTTCGGCTCCGTGTAGTCTATCAAGACATTTGAGCCTACCAAACAAAAGATTGATCAAAACAGAATGAAATGTTGATAAAAATGGACTTGGTAGTAGGAGAAATGGATGAAATGTTATCTTAAATGCCCCTAATTTGGGCCCATACATAAATTCAGCAATCGACTAAATTTTCAATATCGACCAAAAATATGCATTATTTAGTACCGTCCCATCATATGCATTAGTACATCTAGATAAAATTGATAAATAGCAGATTTTTAGCGATGGGCTCAATCTTAGATCCTTTGGCCAAAATTGTAATGCACTGCACATTGTAGTCGAAATACGCATCTGTAATGGATACCAAAATTAATTAGGTGTAAATAAATGGAAGATAACCTTTTTTGCTGTTTTAATCTTGTTGTGTTCTACACAGAGCATTCATCATTTGTTTTCAAGATGCCCATACTTATAGGCTTTATAGATGTAGCAAACGACGATTGCAGCAATGTCAACTCACTTATTGTTGGTTTCAGTTAATGATGCAAACCTATGCAATCTATCCACTTTCAAAACTTCGCGGAGAACTCAAGCACGCTCATGTAAACACAACCACAACCACAAATGTAAAGACGTCAAACGCAACGTGGCCATCAAAGCAACACGGAAAGTAATAATTCTTAGTGGTACTGATATGCGTAGAATTTCCTTCAAATTTCTCGGCATAACAGTCCCAATGAATTGTTTTCGTATAAAAATAGGCTTGACTAATTTAATTGAAGGTCATTTCTGTAAAACATTTCTGTTGAAATGTGAACAATGCACTAACTTATTTTAACTTATATTTCTTCTAATGAGCAGAAATGATTCGAAACATTATTCGCGATTTTCTCAGATGTTACTTTTAGAACATGGGACACATATGCGTAGAACGGCAGTGCAGGTCAATCAGACATGAAATAAATTTTATTCACAGTTAACTGCTGCATTTTTTAGATAAATAAGCTCACAGATACAGAATCATGGCGGAAATCTTCTGAAATTACTACATAACCCAAATGATTATTTTTTTTAATTGTTTAAAATAAATGATAAATGGATCAATAGTTGCTTGCTTATTATTCCAGTGATGACTTTGTACTTCGTCTTGTATGAAAAATGTGTAGTTTTATGAAAAATCACAAAATACTACAAATTCACCTTCCTGTAAATTTTGTTTTGTATTCTGCAAAAATATAGACTGCTGACATTTCTCTAATTTTCCAATTAAATAGGAATCAAATTCATCCGGCTCTTTAACTAATGTTTTTATTTCACATCCGTCGGTTGTGACCCATTGTTCAAATTGTATTTCACTTACGCCTTTTTGCACGATTTCTTCCAATAAAGGGTGATACGGTCAAAATTTGGTCAAGGGAAAACGCGTGTAAATCGGTGAAATCGTTTATTTAAAAAATCAAATTAAATTTCTTTTTCAAGTTCAATTAGTATAAAATTCAGGAAAAATATTCAGTTAGGCTTCCGCTTTTCTTAATCCGAATTGCCGGGCCTTACGCTTGACCCCTGCCATCAGATTTTGTACAGCCACCTTGTCCACCTTCTTCGCCGCAGAAAGCCAGTTTGCCTTGAACTGCTGCTCGCCCTTAGCAGTTTTTTTGGTCTTCTTTAGGTTCCGCTTGACAATAGCCCAGTATTTCTTAATTGGGCGGAGCTCTGGCGTGTTGGGAGGGTTCTTGTCCTTGGGAACCACCTGCACGTTGTTGGCGGCGTACCACTCCATGGCCTTTTTACCGTAATGGCAAGATGCCAAATCCGGCCAAAACAGTACGGAACAACCGTGTTTCTTCAGGAAAGGCAGCAGACGTTTATTCAAACACTCTTTCACGTAAATTTCTTGGTTGACAGTCCCGGAAGCTATGAAAATGCTGCTTTTCAAGCCACAGGTACAGATGGCTTGCCAAACCAGATATTTCTTTGCGAACTTTGACAGTTTCATGTGCTTGAAAACATCTGCTACCTTTCCCCTTCCTTTTGCCGTATAAAACTCCTGTCCCGGAAGCTGCTTGTAGTCGGCTTTGACGTAGGTTTCGTCGTCCATTACCACGCAGTCAAAATTCGTCAGCATCGTCGTGTACAGCCTCCGGGATCGCGCTTTGGCCGGTTGTAGACGATACACCCAGCTTATTTGCGGCATCTCGGAGAGAGAGGCTAGGGTTTCGCTTGAAACTACCGGCAACTCTCTTTGTCGTCTCAGCGGCTTCCGGTTTTCGATTTCCCCCCGATCCAGACTTCCTGGCTGTCGACAAACGTTCCCCAAACACTTTAATTACATTTGTAACGGTTGATTTGGCAACTTTTAGCGATTTTGCCAACTTTGCGTGC